TTCTCTCTCTCTCAAATAAATAAATAAATAAATAATCTTTCAAAAAAAAAAAAAAGCAGTATAGTGCTCACTTCGGCAGCGCACATGGTAACATCAGTCCGATACAGAGAAGATCAGTGTGGCCCATGCATAACAATGACATGCAAATTCAGGAAGCGGTCTATGCTTTTTTTTTTTTAATGCAGAAAAGATATGAAGACTGGAATAAAAATGTCCTAGTATCCTACAACCTATCTCGCCACAAAAAAAGTATTAAAAAAATGATCTCTTCTAAAGTAAACTTTATACTACACACACACACACACACACAAACACACACACACACACAGAGTTTAGCTAAAGATTTGAGAGGCTTTGCTGCCTGGAACTAGAACCTAATAAAGACACCAGCTCCCTGGCGCCAGTTGCTCACCTGTTTAGAGAGGGAATGAGCTCGTCCACTTTCGAGCTAATTGCCAGACGCCCCGTGTGGGCACAGTCTCCCACCAGAGAAATGGACACTGTGGGCACGCCATTTCCCTTTTCTCTCTTCTCTGTGCACAGCCTGTGAGAGAGGCACAGGGTCAAAAGCTGAGACACACGGAGCCTTCCTGAATCCTCTCTCTATCCTCTCTGTCTCGCCCTGCCCCTGTCCCACTGCACTTCCTCTGTAGAACCTTCTGGAACTCTTCCTGCGCCATAGCGGCAGCAGCAGTTACTCGTTCCATGTTGTGTCTTTCGGCCCGTCTGACTTACTGCTTAATTATTAGCTGACTTTGCATGGCTGTGTGTGTCTTATCTCCTCAGCTAGACTAGAAGTTCCTCGAAGGTAGACACTGACTCTTTGCCCCTTTTGGATCTCTTTAGTGCTTGCATCAACGTCTAGGGTATAGTAAGGGGCAGGAACATCCAGACAATGGAACACCATTCCGCGCTAAGAAGAAATGAGCTATCGAGCCATGAAAAGACATGGAGGAACCTTAAATGCATGTTACTAAGTGAAAGAAGCCAATCTGAAAAGGCTACAAACTGTGAGTCCAACTACATGACCGTTCTGGAAAAGACAAAACTCTGGAGACAGGAAAAAGATCGGTGGTTGCCAGGGGTTCAGGGGGCCCCAGAGAGAGAGGGAGGGACAAATAAATGGGACACAGAGGATGTTGAGGGCAGTGAAACTACTCTGTGTGACACTATAATGGTGGATATATGACATTATACACGTATCAAAACCCAGAGTAAAACACAAAGCGTGAACCCTAATGGAAACTATGGAGATTGATTAATAATAACATACCAATATTGAACCAGTCTTCTAATGGGGGGAAACTGGGGTATATGGGAACTCAGTGCTGTCTGTCCAATTTTCCCATAAACCACACCCACATCCTTCCTCGGTGATGAGGGAGCTGGAAAGGTTTATCCAGGCCTGACATTTTTTTTAATTGAGGTATAATTGACATATAACATTATATTAGTTTCAGGTGCTCAACATAAGGATTCGATCTTTGTATACACTGTGAAATGCTCACCGCAAAAAGTCTAGCTTCCCCCCCGCCACCATATAAAGTTACATAATACGCAATCCGATGTTGTTGACCATAGTTGCCATGCTGTATGTTACAACCCCATGACTTATTTATTTTATGGCTGGAAGTTTGTACCTCTTGACCCCCTTCTCCCATTTCACCCACCCCAACCCCCCTCCCCTTCTGCAACCACCAATCTGTTCTCCGCATCTGTGAGTTTTGTTTGCTCATTTGTTTTGTTTTTTAGATTCCACATATAAGTGAAATCATATGGCATTTGTCTTTCTCTGTCTGACTTATTTCACTTGGCATCCTACCCTCTGGGTCTGTGTTGTCGCAAATGGCAAGATCTCATTCTTTTTTATGACTGAGCTGTATTTCATTGTATATATACATACCATATCTTTTTTATCCATTCATCCGTCAATGAATTGGTTGCGTCCATATCTTGGCTATTGTAAATAATGAATATAAGGGTGCATATATCTTTTCAAATTAGTGTTCTCGTTTTCTTTGGATAAATACCTAGCAGTGGAATTACCGGATTGTTCTAGTTTTAGTTTGGTTTTTTTTTTTTTAAGATTTTATTTATTTATTTGACAGAGAAAGACACACAGCGAGAGAGGGAACACAAGCAGGGGGAGTGGGAGAGGGAGAAGCAGGCTTCCCGTGGAGCAGGAAGCCCGATGCGGGGCTCGATCCCAGGACCCCGGGATCAT